ATGCGGAACGCGTGCGCGACAACTTCCTACTTAAACGTAGGTACTCCATTGTCGCGTACGTCAATGTCAAGAGTCTGGGGAGAAAAAAAGGAAAAACGACGCGCGGAGACAACGCACGCGCACGGACGAAATTCGCGACACGAAAAAACGAGCGAAACAAATTGCTGTACATGCGATTAAATTGCATGTCGATGTGTTTTACATGCCAAAAGTTGATTAAGTCATGATTTTCAAACAGGAAAATGTAAATCGAAACGAATAAATCGCAGATTGTACAGAATTTTATAAAGTTGACTTTAAATTGTTTGTAAGTATTTGTTAAATAATCATATCAACAATAATAATACACATTTAGATGTGGAATTTTATTAAGATCATATATTTGAAAGAATATTGTGTTTATCAGTAATAGTTTTTGAGTTATTCAATATTTTGTAATAAAAGTCAGCGAAACACGCTTAATTCTTGGATTTGAATAGAGAGGGCGCCAGGAGTAACAAAAATGAGTAGCATAGGGAGTTGTTTGGTAGTGGTAGTGTGCGCTCATGGAGTTAAATGGCAAGACGCGTGTCTGTGTGAGTTTAGACTTAGTTTTTTCTCCATAAATCTTAAAGTTTTATTTCAATTTGAAAAATTTCTTCAACAATCGACTAAGAATTTAATTTAGCATAATATTAATAAAATAATTAATTAAAATTTACTTTAATTAACAATAAAATGTTAAATAATAATAAATTTTAATAAATTAATTGAAAATTATTGTTTTATAGCAAATATTTATATTTTAAACTGCCAATTAGAGTAATTAAGCAATGTGTAATAAATTTAATCATTTATAGCCTTGTTTTTTTGCATCTATCAAGCCTAATCGAATTATGAGCTTACACGATGGATTTATGCGCGATTTGCACACACGGTGCGCGAATCGCACGTCTCCGCTCCTCAACGCATTAATATTTTTTGCGATAGTTTACCCGCTGCTCTCGGCGGCGCGTTAAAAAAGCGCGTAATTAAGCGGAGAATTATGTGGCGCGTTCCATATTAGCGCAAACAAACAAAACAAATGAAGCGATGAACTGGACACAAACCAAACTAACCGCAACGTCCCATCTGCTACCACACCACAACGCACACACATTTAAACATCAGAGGAGCAGAGAATTGAACAGAAGACAGCGTTGTAAGGTTGTAAAACAAAACTTAATTGCATGTATTAAGCGATGCGTCCGTCCGAGATGAAGAAACGGCAGCACGAACGCATCAATCGAATCCAGCTTACAAAGTTACAAAGTGAAGTTCACGTCGATGCGTGTTTTATGCCTGTCTGTGTATGTGTATGGAGCTGTGAAGTTTGTGAGCGCACAAAAGCAGAGCTTGCAGGCGCGGACAGGTGGTTATTAGCCGGCTTTTCTCGCCGTCTAATTGGCAATCGGCGAAACGTATATGGAGCACACGTCGATTCAAATTAAATCTAATGACCGAAAAAATCATTAGAGAGCCGTAATCATACGCTGCCCGGCAGCATCGCACAAAGAAAACCATTTTTCCAGCCGAATAAAAGACGAGAAGCGATGAAAAGTCATCTTCCATTGATTTGACAAAGTTTGAGAAGTAATTATTAAGTACCCGTTACATTGGCGACGGGGGCGGTTACTCAGAAAGGCGTTTTATTCTTTGATTGATTGATATCTTACTTAAAACTAACGGTATTGCATTAATTAATTGAAAAAATTTTAAAAAATATTTTATAATGTAGGCAACCAACAATACATGCAGATGGTTACGCCATCTATGTGATTTAAAAAAAAGTTTGATTTATGTTTTAGTAGAATAGGTGTTAAAACTGTTTTTTTTCCCATCGATTAAGTTGACATCGCGCATAAATAACGCGTGAGTGTAATTTTTTTCTCTCTCGTCGTGGAGTGTTGATTACGTTTGCGTGGATTCTAATGATGCACGGGGCCGGCACGGCGCTAAATCACCGTCGTTTTAATTGATATCACGCTGGGCGCCGCCGCCGCGCGCAATCAGGCACAAATTTTTTGGTCCGCGTGCACGTTTTTGAGCGTTGTGGTAATGTGGCTTTTAATTCGATCGTGATTTATGCGCGCGCTCAGGTGTTTGAAGTAGATTAGTTTTTGTGGACGCTCGCTCGTTCGGAAATCGAACGAAATAAAAACCCAGCTCATAAATCGTGCGCGCGCTAACAAATAATAATATTCCACACACACACACAATAATTACTCTTTGAACTTTACCAAAAACTAATTCGTATATAAAATGTTTGAGATTCAGTTGAATGGCTGGACGATTTAAAAGCCAGTGTGGTAAATCATCAGGTTGAATGCTTTCTCTGGCAGCGAGCGAACGTTCTGTTTTATCCTGTCAATTCTGACACTAATCACCTGTTAGAAAATAATTTCGATAACAGGTAATTACGACTTGTTACCGCATTTCATGTCATTATTACCAGTGCCTGGGTTTCATTTGAAGCGGTCGGTGGATTCGCGGGCGCGCATCACGAAACTGGCGGATCGAACACAAAATTTAACACTCACCAATCAACAATCAGGAATATAAACAGGCGCAAGTGAAATACTCGTAAGTGAGGTGAAATTGTTGCGCTTGTTGCGTTCGTGAGCAATTGTCAGATCAAACACAAATATAATACTATCACGCACGTTTTATTTGTTTAATTATCGGACGATTATTTTCGAAAACTATTATTTAACTAAATTCACACGTTATTAGAGGAAATTCTTGGCTTCAAAACAAATTCCACAAATTAAAAGCAAAATTTTAAATTTTAGAAATAAAATTTTCTTGTTTTGCAAATAGATGTGATTGATATGATTTAATTGTTATGATTTTGCATGAAATGCTTGCAATTCAAAAAATAATCCTTGCTCGTTGAAAACTTTAAAGTTGTCACTTTGTATTTGACAAATATAAATTACTAGCTTTAACCCGCGGCTTAGCTCGCGAATATCTAAAATAATGAAGTTGCTTCCGTACGCGTCTGTAGTCACAGAAGAAGTAACAATGAAGTAGAATGGCGGGAAGTTTAAAATGGCTGAAAGTATAGTCTATGGAAGTATAGTGTACAGTCTCCATAGTGTAGTCAATTGGATTTGATGTTGACGTAGCTGTCGGTAATACAGTGTGATAATACAGTGTGATGGTACTATAGTAGTTAGGTTTGAGCTTCATTGCTGGAATGCTAGATGGCGTTAAAGTAGTCAAATAGCCAGATGCAGAGGTATTATTGGCTAAACTATTTCTTTATTTTATTTAAAAAATATTTTTTTTTATTAAATAAAAAGTAGCCTATAACCAATCGGGGACCACTAAGAATATGTGTACAAATTTTCATGATGATCGGTTAAGTAGTTTTTGCGTGAAAGTGTAACAAACATCAGGACTTTCGCATTTATAATATTTGTAGGGATGTGATACTTTGATCATGATGCGACAGACGAGCATTATCAAATCTGTACGCTCAATATTGTGTATATTAAACAGCCAACTCTCCTGTCACACATGGTTTATGATAGTGCCATCTATTAGAAAACGGCTAAACTGCATTTTTCAAAATTAAATAGAGGCGAGAATCGCGACAAATCGTTGATTTTGCTTAGCATTTTTTGCAGAAACAGGCAACGCAATCAACACCACACTTTAGGCATTTCTATGTCTAACAACAATCTCCGAAATAAAGCTAATTCCAGAGGAGAATCTGTTGCATTTTTAGAAAATTACAAAAAACAGTAAAACTACAAATCATTTTTTCTCCCAAAGTACCGCATCAACATAAACCAAAATTGATACAACGCTAGATTATGAATTGATACATCAATATACAAAATTTCATAACCTAGTTTGGTGTAGTTTTGAAGATATTTAATATTTTGTAAAATTTTAAATTTTCCTGTTTTAAATCTGTGATATCTTGATATATTCCTTCGCCTCAGTTATTTATTCGTCGAATTTATAATAAATACCGAATGATAAGTCATATGTCAAAACATAAATCGAAGATAGAAGATACAAATCGTCCGACAATAAAAAGATCAAGTCCGAAAATAAGCAAATAAATCAATGAATCGACCACAAATCACAATGCGTTCGCCTCGTGCGCTTGTGCGCTGCATGTAATGCCAATCAGTCATTTTTTCCCCGGCGTATCGTAACTCGTAACTCCTTTCGATGGCCCATCGATGGTCCATAACTAGAACGCGCGAGGAATTGAAGATGATGAATCGTAGACACATTCGAGAATGTGTTCGAATGTGAACCTCGTGTTCGCGCCGTCGTCCGGCTGACCAAACTAAACGCAACCAGAAACGAAAGAAGAAAAAAAAAGCAACACACACACCGAACACAAAACAACAAACAGCGCGAACATCGGACAAGGTGCCACATTGTACTCGCTTCGAACATCGCACGTCTAACGAACATCAAACGAAACAATGCGTAATAAATTCACTCGATTCGTTTCTACAAACTCCGAACGACATTTTTATTCAAATTCAACCTAATTATCTCTTTGTCGTTCATCTACATAAAACGCTAATAAATTACCAATCAGCGATACAATTGTCGAAATTCACTGCGTGGCGTTCTCGAAATATATTTTTAATGTTTGTTAAATGAACATCAATCACACACGTTTATTTATAACCTGAATCTAATTCCAAATCGAAGTGGAATTTAAATCTGAGCTCATCTATTGTGGAATATTATTGATGATTGACCTGTCAACCTATTAAAAAACATATAAAACAAAAAATTTAAAAAAATAAAGACAAAAAGTTACATGCAACCAAAATTGACAACCAAAAGAAATTTTTTTCTACTTCTATTTTTAAAGTTTTACATTTTTCACGGTTTAAAAACACGAAAAATGTACTTTAGTCACGGTCGTGAGTAAAGTGCCACTTAGCGCACTAGATTTTTAAAAAAATACATTTTTTTAATTTAATTTTTTTTATTTGTTTCAGTCATTTTTTGGACGGACTTATAATAACCTCAGCTCAATCTCCGAGTGTAAGAACAACGGTGAATGTGTAATCAACAAAAAAAACCGCACAGCATGTAAAGCATGCCGCCTGCGGAAATGTCTCCTCGTCGGCATGTCAAAATCCGGCTCGCGATACGGTCGAAGATCCAACTGGTTCAAAATCCATTGTTTACTCCAAGAACAACAACAAAATCACCAACAAGCCGCTGGTAACGCCACTGCAGCCGCCGCAACAGCAAATCTCCTCCGACCACACCCATACTTACCATTTTTCCGCCATCATCAGTTGTCCAGCATGTCGGCGGCGGCGATGGCCAACACTCGTGATGGTCGTTCATCAGAATCCGACAGTGGTGCATCCTCAGCCGATCCCGAAGATGATCTACGCTCGACAAGCGCGTTGAGTTTCCTCAAACTCCCAGCGTCGCCATCTAGCGAGCGTGATTACTTCTCCGGTGGCAGTTCGAAGAAACTCCCCTCGCCTGCCAGCGACGGTGAGTGTTTTCAACGCAGAAAAATCGCTTCTGCGCTTACACATTTTCCACCCGCGTCATCGCCTGCGTCACTTCCGGCGATCTCCCCTGGCGGTGCTACTTCACTCTTGCCAAGATGGCTGCCACCGTTACAAGGCGTGGCTGACCCAGCATCATGGCGTGAGATGTGGTTGAAAGGATCACTCAGTATACCAGCAGCTGCCGCGCCTGATCAAGACCAACCGATTGATTTATCCGTACGACAATCACAATCACCACCGATGACAAAGGCGGAGCCTATCAACGCGTCGGACAGCGAGGCGGAGCTTAATATCGATGTGGGCGTAGATGAGCCGGTGAAATCAGTGCCTTTGGACTTGACGCTCGAACGACAAGCAGCTGATGTGGTTACAAATTAATCATAAACACAAAACAAGTGAATCAAAGCCAGAAAACGGCCAGTATAATGCAAAAAATGTCATTTTTAGAGCTACCCAAAGGCGTGGCCTTTCAAACCACGCCTCTGGATAGCTCACACTCCAGTGCATCAGTATATGTGATAAAAGAATCCAGTATTTTGCCACATTTCAATTTTAACACTTTTCACACAAAAGAGAAAAATTATTTATTTATATAGATATACATTATATATTAAAAGAGAAGCAACTATATAGGAGTATGATATTGTAAATATTGTGCGCGGTGATATTTAGAACATTCCGGAGAGACAGGAGACGACAAAACGGTCAGTTTATTTTTTTACGAGTTTAGCGTAACACTCTGTATGTTACTATTATTACTATTGTTATGTTTAATTCATTTTTTTGGGGCGGCGGCAGGGGAAGACATAGTATTTATATCGGAATATCTCAAGTTGTGTATGTGTGTGTGTATATACAAATAGTAGTAGATTTAAAAAGAAATGTTATAAACAAAAGCAAACACACGGTGTTTTATGGCCAGTACAAGGTGCCTTACAAATATATAATATATATTTTTGAGTGCTTTAATAAAATAAATAAATATATTGTTTAAAAAAAAATTTTGTTGATTTTTTGCGTATTGCTGGATTTAGCAAACAATTACTTCGACAAGAATGGTTAGGTTATGGTAAACCGGTAAACAGGTAAACAACTCTCTTGGGAAGCGCACAATGCCGATTGAAATCCATATTCGAAGGTGAAGTGCCTTCAAAGAGGTATTTTCCGCATACTTGAACTTTAATTTTAAATTTTGAGGTTATAAATGGTATATTAAGTATCAAGTGCGCTAAGTTATATTTTAACCACGTTTAATCACGCTATTTAATCAATTTCCACTTTTTTTCACGACTTTAGTACTTTAGTCACGACTTTAGTCACGCCCGTGATTAAAGTATCACTTTTTGTATCTCAAAACCGTGGATAAAGTAATTTTTTGTATTTTTTAATCATTTTTTTATAAAAATGACTTCCATAACACAAAACCTAACCTAAAATGACATTTCAACGCGATATTATTGTCTACTCATTGTACGGTTTAATTTTTTTCTTTTCAGCCATTGTAACATGTTATTGTCGGTTTTGGTTCTCACAGGACTCATCAGACACTCGCATCCTTCTGTTCTAAACGTTGTGTGACGCGTGTGGGTTAGATTCTCACCATTCTTCGCGCACGACGCGCTAAACTTCAACCCATTGAGTCCATCTGAAGAGCTCTGACGTTGTCGCTGACGCCTCGTGACCGTCGCGGCTGAAACTCTCGTCGGCGACTCCTGAAGTGTACATCGGCGCCAGGAAGACAATGCGACAGGTCGAAAAATTCAAAGTCACCAACTCACACACAAAGAACAATTGATAAAAATAAAATTTAAAAAAAAATACAACATAGGCAACTAAATATACTTTTATACTTGTCAACTTAATTGTCTTTAAAAACTCTTTAAAAGACTGTTAGTCTTAATTCATGTCTTATTTAATTAAAATTATACCATACATCGCATGTGGCGTCTTTTTGTTACTTGTTTAGCGATGTTTTAGTCGCGGTGAGTTTTTTCTTCCGCTATCTGGAAAGCGCGGAGACAAAAGAATGAACGCACGCCGCCCTTTGGCTGCCCTTAGATGGCAGCATTGGGTTTTTGCGAGTCTTCCTAGAAGCGCGATTTAATTACGCCGGGGCGCTTGTCGGCCGCATATAAACGATTATCAATTAGATGCGTCGCATTCTCGCGCCGTGCACAAACGACCGTTTTGCTCCAGATCCGCTCGCGCGCGCGCGCGCGCGCACATCGTACCCAAAGAATGCTGCCGATAAGAGCACCACACATGGCAGGACTCCTTGGAGGATGAAGACGAACCATCGGTGTGGGTAAGTATAAGAATCCGATCAGCGCGCACCTTTTGCCTTAAGTCGCGCGCGCTTGCGCAGTTGACTTAAGTCCGGAATATGATTAACTGTTTTTGTCGCGTTTGTCGGTTTGGCGCACGGCCGGCACACGTGTCCCATGTCGGTTAGATTGTCGGGAAGATTTTGTTCGCGCGTTAATTAACTCGCCGACGGTTTTTGTTAGCGTTAGACGCTTGATATCGGCCCGCCCTTAAAGGTAACCCACCCAAGAAGACCAAGCGTGCATTTCGTGCTTCCTAAACAAGATCGTAGCACAAAAAAAAATCGACTGTATTAGAAACGGCTATAATCGGTAAATAAACGTAGAAAATGATTTTTTTTTAACAACTGCGCATGCGCAAACTCCACCCTGTGACTAAAGTACTTTAGTCACGGTTTTTAGCCATCTGTGATTAAAATATCACTTTTTGTGTTCCAAAACAATGAAAAAAGTGAAAAAATAAAATTTTTGTTTGTTTCAAGTGTGATTTATGTGTGATTTAGGTAAAATTACTTAATTATCAACAATCGAATAGACAAGTGAACGTGGTGTTGAACAAAACGCTCTCAATAATTACCCTTGGCCGTGGACGCGTTAATTATCCAATTAATCCACCAATTAATCGCGCGTTCTAGATGCGCGTCTCTTTCCCAACTCCGTGCCACGCCACGCCACGCAGTAAACATTGAAACGTCGAACAAAAAGACGACAAACGACGCATTTAAGCACCTATACAATTTCGCTACCAGTCGCACGTCGCGCACATCGCACAGCGTCTAACGGCGGTTACGTATAAGGATTTAAACGGTCCTCTCGGCGCAGGATTCAACTTTTGGTGCGCGCGCCCGAACGACAAACGAGCCAACAAGATGTTACGAAAAGTGCGCGTAATCCGAACGACAACTGACGACAACGCACGGACGTGGAAAAGAAGCGCTCGCTACACAATGGAACATTTACGGCGCGACGTGCAACGCAAACACGCAAAAAACAATCTATACACACACAGGCAGATGGGTAATACACATGTGTGTGTGTTTGGTGGCCTAACTTGACTTGCTTTAAATAATACCAGTTGTCCACGAAGATTTGTATCAAATTATAATAGATGACGGTGTAAAAATGCGCGCGCACAAGTGTCGACACTTACGAGTATTCTCCGATTCAATGAAACACTTTTGAATGAAGTATTTTTATGTATAACCTCAAAAAAAAAACAGAAATAAACGCAGGATGAAATTTTCATAAAACGTGGTTTCGGTTTCGCCGACACGCGTTATCGTCATAATTTATGTAAACTTGCCATAAACAGCGGAATTCAATTTGTAGCCGCGTTTGTAATAAGATAGGCCGGAGAGGCAAATAAAAACGAGCGCGCAAGAGGTTACACACACGAGTTTAGTCACTTAGCAGTGAAGATATTCCTCGCGTTCCAGCGTTCGTGGTGGTCCCAGGGAGCGGCTGACATTACTCAGGCGAGTATCAAAATCCCATCACAATCATATCGAGATCGCGTTCGATACCAACACACACACATAACATTTATAACCTCAAAATATTAATGCTTGTTTTATGCAACCAACTATACACATTTATATATTTTTTTGGTTATGTTTAGGTTAGAGTCAAGAAACGTAATAAATTTACGTTGTACGCGAAGCATGGAAGATGTGAGAGAGGCAAAAGAGACTTTATTGCCCAGTCTCCGGACGCGAACATCGATATATTCGCCGATCGCCGTTTGACGCGCGCTTTATAATATGTCTAATTGGAAATCGCTACCGCGATGTGCGAAATGCCTACGGGCCTCGTGGCTACCAGCCTCGATAATGGATGGCGTTTGGACACGAACGGCCAAACACAAACACATCAACACGCAAACGTAAATATTTTTCACTAAAATTTTTTTTTTTGATTTAGTTTCATCTTGAAGTGTTTCTGGTGCATTCAATGCAGATTCACGTGAAGATGCGAAGATTCAGATGGCTGCGATGCCATAAATGTTATATTTCTGCTTGTGTACGCCGGCGCGATGCATTCATAACCTCAACCGGCGGCTATAAACATGATATTCGTATTCGTATAGCCGTGGATATTTACATTGAAACCAATCTAGCGGAAAATCTCCTGCGTCTCTTTTTACTACGTCTCCACAACATTTTCGTTTTGTTGGGAATAAATAGGTGCGAATGGCTCGGTAGCTACGCTTGTACGTATTGCGTGCTTGTACGCTGATAAATGGCGAAATTACACGTGCGAAATTATTATTATATTCCGTTTTTGGCAAGGCGTGTGTGTGCACCGATCGTAAACTTATCGTAAAACGTGCTAAAATCATCATTTGTGTATTTGTGTATCGTGTGTTGCCTATACAGAAAAAAAAAACTAATTTAAATTGAATAGTTGTGTGTGTGGCTGTATACTCTGCTCTGGATATTTACGAGAATGTCCCAGAAGACGTACACCAATTAATTTGTCCATTGCCGATGGATAATTGCACGCTTCCTGCTCGCATGACTCTCTTCACGTGAACATAACCTCAACAGACGCACGGAGTTACGGTTCTGAATCTGCTGGGATTTCAAAAGTAGTCTTTGACTAGTCAAAGACAATACGACGACACAAGTCCATCGGTCGGCGAAGATCTGATAATAAATCCGGCGGCGATATCGTAAAACAGTTCGCGGCTCGCGCTGCCAACAATGTGTTCAATGCCCTTCGAGGCATGCGAACCGATAGCGGAGCAGCACGGCGAACGCATCGCAACCTAACCTCTAGGAAGAGGCTACTGGAATTCTCATAACTATCCCGTCGGCGGCCCATCTTCCATCTTCGCGTCTAAACCGCTGCGCCGAGTCGAAGCCAGGATCAATGCATATTGATAAGCATTGCGAAATAACTTCCAAGCCAGATAAGAGCTGAAGCTCCCATCGGGCTTATTGTTAGTTATTGTTATGTTGGGGGCTTGCAAGCGCAGAAATTTTACGGTTTACCGAGTCGACAGGATCGGACAGGACAGATTATTGCAAGAGATTGATATCACGTAAACTAAATTATTGACTATTAATATGTGTGTTGGGTTGCCTATACTATAATTTTTAGGTTTCTAATCGTTTCGATGTAAAAACACATTTTTAATACCAATGTGTGTGTGTGTTAAACCGATGATTGCGGTTTGTGGTATTGATGGATCGGCAGTTATCGCCCGCGGGCCCCCGCGGCAATCACGCGATCGACGCCTAATTACGTTTAACCAAATAAATTTATTTCACACGGAGAGCAAGAGTTATTGCGCCGAAAATACAAACATTAAATGGCTCATTACGCCGAAAACAAGAACAACTACACCAGAATATATAAAAAAAGTTTTAATAGCAATAATAACATTAATAGCATTCACCGTTTATAACTAGAAGAGTTTAGATTTAAGTGTATTTGAGATTGGTGAGATAAACAGCGTGTATTGTAAGTGATGCGTTTACATTTCGTACACTTTGAATCTGGAATCTTGATGTACGCGTCTAGATTTATCTGGGTTTCTGTTTCGATTTCGATAATCGTGTTATTGCTCACTCTCGATCACCGAGCACGATAAACAGCGCGAGCGCGCAACTCAATTTTAACGCTGTGTTGATGTGGTGTTGTTGTTATGGAAGAATGAGGTGAAATAAAATTGG